CTGTAGATGAGGAAGGGCCGCTATCTTTGAACGCAATGGAGTACAACGAAAACTTTGTGTCTACAACAGACAAAAGCAACATTCTGATATTCTGATACCTGCCGGCGGCCATCTTGATGATGGACTCCGGCAGAGAGAGGAGGGGACAATCACCCGGCGGGATAAGGTATGGCGCCGGGTCCCCTCCTCTCTCCTGATACTGTCGGGTGTTCGGTCCATGACCGAGCGCCCGACTCTTCAGAGGGGGGTGACACCAAAATGACTGTGAATCATTTTGGTGTCACCCCTCCAATGGTGTCACCCGGGTGCGGGCCACACCCCCCGCACCTCCCTTGTGACGCCACTGATCACAGGCGTACTTTGTTGTCTGATCCAAAGCTCTCTAATGGACACCTTCTACTTCCAATGGAGGCTTCCAGAAACAAAAAGAAAGCACAGATGTTGAGGGCTGGATTTACTCTCTCTGCTGCCCCAAGGCCAGTGTCAGGAACCGGATCTGAACCCAGAGCTTTTGCTGAGCCACCTTAGAACCTTGGATAGCTCCTTGCCTGATCTCCTGTGTATCATCAGTTATACCTAATCAGATGCTGAACTCTGACCTCCTTGCCCCTCCCGTGAACTTCCTATTTAAGCCATGCCTCTGCACTTCCTGTTTGCCAGATTATTGTGCTCCTGCTGTGATCTTGCTTCCTTCTCCCTCTGTGTTACAATCTACTCATACTGCTTCCCGTGTACCAACCTTTGGCTACTGATTCACCGACTACTCTCTCCGTCTCCTGCTACATACCTGATACCTTTGGCTCCTGACCTCGGCTTGTTCGCTGACTATACTTCTGCCTTCTCCTACACTACTACCGTCTGCTTGTGTACCTAACCCGGCCTGTTATACTACGAATTGCCTGCTGCTTCAGCTGCTGGACTCTGAGTCTGATCCCAGATCGTGACCGCCAGGTTCCTCAATGCACCAGCCCCCCCCCCCTTCCCATGGAGAATGGAAGACCTGCAGGCTGGATACAAGCGGGCTGTACATTTAGCACTGCTTGCCCATAGCAGGGCTAAATGTAGAAGACAACTACCCGCCCGGCGCCTGCATGTCCCGGGCATAGGGAGATAGGAATTCCACACCCCTGCTGCCCCTCTACTTCCTCCCTTGGTTGGCCTTTTGGGAAATCCGGCCCTGCAGATGATGAGATATTCGTCTTACATCTATTACGGAGTCTTGTATCCTGTCCTGGAATTGACTCGTGAAGCATAAAGTGGAAAAATTGAGCAATATTGCACCGCGCGTAAAAGCCCAATTAAAGTAATAACTCATCATTTATTACTGGATAAAATGACGATTCTCTCAACGTACTACCTTTCCTTAAATTATAGTCTGGAATGACGAGCTCGAGACGGGATTTATATAACCCTCTAGACGGCCATACACGTGTAAAGGATTTGCGTTATGGGGGATTATAGCGCGGAATGCGGTTCCATCCTGACCTTTTCAAAATTCGGCAGCATGATGGACGTGCTGCTTCCACCTTGCAGAGGTTACTGCGCTGTCAGAGCCGAGGGGAAGGTAAATTTGGCTGCGTGGCAAATATAAAATATCAGAGACTTATAGGTTTTATGATCAATGGCGGCTGGAATACGGTGGTCACAAGTTCAACTTTTTTGATAAATATTAGCCATATATCCATATTCATATATCCACTTCATTACCGCTTCAGATTGTGAGAAAATTCTGGGCTGGCCGTCTGCTAGTTTGGTTGAGATACATAAAAGATACATAAAAGTTTTTAAATCATCATAGATACATGAAATCGTTTTGGGGAACTGTATCCTTCTTTCCATTGCTTTGAAAACAGGCCTGGTATATGCAGCCCAATGTAAGTGATGAATGTAAAGATCTGTACATTGAGGAGATACAACAACCGCTTAACAAAGAGATGACCCAACATAGGAGGGTGAACTCTACAGGTGAGAACTAAAGCAGCATTCCTACTCCATAAAACGGAATCCTGAAAGATATAAAAGACACAAAAAAATGCAGCTCTGTATTCATTAATACACCTTTAACGACTTGAGTACCGGCCTGTATATATGTTGTGCCCATTATAAAGGGTTCCCACCATCCCTGTGCTAAGTTCCCGGGTCTGTACACCTGCTGTGCCCATTATGAGGGGCTCCCACCATCCCTGTGCTGAGTTCCCGGGTCTGTACACCTGCTGTGCCCATTATGAGGGGCTCCCCCATCCATGTGCTGATTTTCCAGGTCTGAAAACCTGCTGTGCCCATTATAGGGGTTCCCTCCAACTCTACACTGTGTTCCCGGGACTGTACACCTTCTGCGCCCATTATGCTGTGCCCACTTTGACACAGTTGGCCAGAGAAGGATTATTTTGATGCAGTTGGCCATTGATGGATCACTTTGATGCAGTTGGCCAGAGAGGGATCACCTTGACGTAGTTGGCCAGAGAAGGATCACCTTGACGTAGTTGGTCATTGAGGGATCACTTTGATGCAGTTGGCCAGATAGGGATCACTTTGTTGCAGGTGGCCAGAAAGGGATCACTTTGATGCAGTTGGCCAGAGAAGGATCACTTTGATGCAGTTGGCCATTGAGGGATCACTTTGATGCAGTTGGCCAGAGAGGGATCACTTTGATGCAGTTGGCCAGAGAAGGATCACCTTGAAGTAGTTGGCCAGAGAAGGATCACCTTGACGTAGTTGGCCATTGAGGGATCACTTTGATGCAGTTGGCCAGAGAGGAATCACTTTGTTGCAGTTGGCCAGAGAAGGATCACCTTGACGTAGTTGGCCATTGAGGGATCACTTTGATGCAGTTGGCCAGAGAAGGATCACCTTGAAGTAGTTGGCCAGAGAAGGATCACCTTGACGTAGTTGGCCAGAGAAGGATCACCTTGACGTAGTTGGCCAATGAGGGATCACTTTGATGCATTTGGCCAGAGAGGGATCACTTTGATGCAGTTGGCCAGAGAAGGATCACCTTAACGTAGTTGGCCATTGAGGGATCACTTTGACGTAGTTGGCCGGAGAAGGATCACCTTGACGTAGTTGGCCATTGAGGGATCACTTTGACGTAGTTGGCCAGAGAGGGATCACTTTAATGCAGTTGGCCAGAGAAGGATCACCTTGACGTAGTTGGCCATTGAGGGATCACTTTGATGCAGTTGGCCAGCTTGATCATGTATTGCAGTACATGTGAATCGAGAATCCCTGATTTGATGCAAACGTTTGCTAGAAATATGTACGGGTGTACAGCAGGGTGCAGAGGGTTAATTCAGAGTGTTCTGTTTCTATAGCATAGATATAAAAATTCATCCATGGCGAGTCCCATAAAAGTCCCGATCGGTCCCATACAATCATACCCATCTCACCTCCCGTCATCATTGTTTATCTCATAATTCTATGAAGCCTTTTGTTCATAGAACACGCCGTCCATTGGAAGCCGCCCTCCTCCCAGAATACATTAAGCCGCGGCGATGCGATTAAAGCTTTCTGTATTCTCGGTTAACGCGACCTTTTAAGAATGTACCAGACATAAATCTGCATTGTCACCACTTTTCAGAACCCGCATACTGTCCCCTGATGAATACATAATGAAAGGCTGGTGAATCGCCGCCGGAGAGCTGTCCTCACCGGACTCTACAGACAGTCTGACGCAAGATGACATCGCCTGTGTATTATAGGGGCCCATTCACATCGCAATGCAGTGCGTTTTGATCCACGCATTCGGTGCATTGCGTTCATTTTGAATGGGCTTTCAACAGCCCTCAGGAAAAGATATAGGTCTTGTGCTAGTTTTCAAAAGAGGACCAGAGAGAGGGTCAGAGAGAGGGTCAGAGAGAGGACCAGAGAGAGGTCCATAGAGAGAGGGCCAGAGAGAAACCGAAGAGAGGACCAGAGAGAGGGCCAGAGAGAGACCAGAGAGAGGGACAGGGAGAGACCAGAGAGAGGGCAAGAGAGAGGGCAAGAGAGAGGGTCAGAGAGAGGGTCAGAGAGAGACCAGAGAGAGGGACAGGGGGAGACCAGAGAGAGGGCAAGAGAGAGGGCAAGAGAGAGGGCAAGAGAGAGGGCAAGAGAGAGGGTCAGAGAGAGGGTCAGAGAGAGACCAGAGAGAGGGACAGGGAGAGACCAGAGAGAGGGCAAGAGAGAGGGTCAGAGAGAGGGCCAGAGAGAGGGCCAGAGAAAGGGCCAGAGAGAGGGCCAGAGAGAGGGCCAGAGAGAGGACCAGAGAGAGGGCCAGAGAGAAACCAAAGTGAGGACCAGAGAGAGACCAGAGAGATGGCCAGAGAGAAACCAAAGTGAGGACCAGAGAGAGGGCCAGAGGGAGACCAGAGAGAGACCAGAGAGAGGACCAGGAAGAGGACCAGAGAGAGAGGACCACAGAGAGGGCCAGGGAGAGACCAAAGAGATGGCCAGAGAGAGGTCCAGAAAGAGGTCCAGAGAGAGGTCCAGATAGAGGACCAGAGAGAGGACCAGAGAGAGGGCCAGAGAGAAACCAAAGTGAGGACCAGAGAGAGGGCTAGAGGGAGACCAGAGAGAGACCAGAGAGAGGGCCAGGGAGAGGACCAGAGAGAGACCAAAGAGAGGACCAGAGAGAGACCAGAGAGATGGCCAGAGAGAGACCCAGAGAGAGGGCCAGGGATAGAACCAGAGAGAGGGCCAGGGAGAGGACCAGAGAGAGACAAGAGAGAGAGAGGGCCAGGGATAGAACCAGAGAGAGGGCCAGGGAGAGGACCAGAGAGATGACCAGAGAGATGACCAGAGAGAGACCAGAGAGAGGGCCAAAGAGAGACCAGAGACGGGGCCAGAGAGATGACTAGAGAGAGACCAAAGAGAGGACCAGGGAGAGAACCAGGGAGAGACCAGAGAGAGGCCAGAGAGATGACCAGGGAGAGACCAAAGAGAGGACCAGGGAGAGACCAGAGAGAGGACCAGGGAGAGGCCGGAATCAAACAACTTACAATTGTCAGGAATTATCTTTTATTGGTGAAAAGTTTTTTGTAAAAAGTAAAAAAAGTGAAACATTTCCTAGGAGGACGATTTACGAGTTCTCATAAAATTGACATAAAACTCCTACAAACGTCGGCTTTAAATACAAGCGTTGTGCACTGCGCCGGGTACGGCTCCTCAGGGATGGAGAGTAATATCCCCGTAATCCCTCGCTTTACTATCTGTAAGGTTAAACGTGGGCGCCGTTCGCTTCCCGCCGCCGGTCGGATTCAGCAGCTTTATAACGGCACGGAGCAGATGTATCTGTGTCTCTCTCCGCAGCTTCTCTCCGTCCATTCCTCCTGCCTCCGGACGAGGACACAGCTCTTCTCCGAGGCTCCAGACAAAGAGGGAAGGGAGGGGTTGAAGCTACTGGGCGTCCATTGTTGTCCGTTGGCCCAGGACCGGGCTGAGGGTCTCTCCGCTGACCTCAGGCCTAACGGTATAAAAACCTGGATTAATATAGGAGTTATCTGTATCATAGCTACCACCCCGGTTTAAAGCTGAACTCCAGGATAAGCAAGTATTGTCTATATACAAGAGTCATGTGTATTCTTCCTTAAATCTCGGTGAGCTTTGTGTATTTCTTACAGATCTGTTCGAAACATGGAGCTTCCTGTAATAAAGACCGGCCACTGCTGCTCTCTCTCCTTGAGCAGGGTGACTGGTCTTGTCTCCGACCCCTCCTGTAATAAAGACCGGTCACAGCTGCCCTCTCTCCTTGTGTAGGGTGACTGGTCTTGTCTCCGCCCCCTCCTGTAATAAAGACCGGTCACAGCTGCCCTCTCTCCTTGTGCAGGGTGACTGGTCTTGTCTCCGACCCCTCCTGTAATAAAGACCGGTCACTGCTGCTCTCTTTCCTTGTGCAGGGTGACTGATCTTGTCTCCGCCCCCTCCTGTAATAAAGACCGCTCACTGCTGTTCTTTCTCCTTGTGAAGGGTGACTGGTCTTGTCTCCGCCCCCTCCTGTAATAAAGACTGCTCACTGCTGCTCTCTATCCTTATGCAGGGTCGGGGTAGGTGGGGCTTGCTGGATCCCCTCCCACAGCTCTGCTCTCATCACAGGCTATGTACAGCACAGGGATGATGTCACTTCTACAAGTTAATATCTGATTTTGCAAAGTCATTTGGTTCACACTAAGTAGATTTGTATCCTTTGTGGGTAATGAGAAGCAATCGGTATTTAAATGGAAGTTTCTATGCCCCAAGTTCAGCTTTCATACATGACAAATGACTCCCTGAGCACTACGGGTTAGCTATCAAGTCAGTACTGCAGAAGCTGTTTCCTTTCAGATTCTCTGTCTCTGATCGAGACTTTCAAAGCCATTTGGAGAGCGAGGAAGGAAATAGGAGTCCCTGCTGTCTTCAATGTAAGCTAAACAATGGAGATTTTACAACAGGAAGGAGAAACTGAAAGACGAGGTAAACATCCCTACAGCTCCCCCTGCTGGCTGGATAGAAGAATACAAAGTATGTATGTGCAATATTCATATTACATGAATAAAAACATATATTTATAATTGATTTTCTACCCGGATCATAATAAACAGACAATAAGTACAAAACGTCTCGACATTCTGACCCGAATGCCGAGCTGTACCTGCGCTCACATCTGATTGGAGTCTAGTAATATCTTACCGATCCAAAATGGCTTCCTGTTGGCAAAATTCCAGAGCCACCTCATGGCCGATTGTGAGTGCACACTTGTTAGATGACTGCCTGACCTGAAATACAGAGGTTGGGTGTCAGGGGGAGTTATGGAGAAGACCGCAGTACGTGTTCACCTAAAGAGTTCTGGATCCCAGGTTTCATGATCAAGAATCTGGGGTCATGTGATCCTGGAGCTCTATATCTTATAATGGCCGTCCCTTCTTGTCATGTATGTCCTGGGAGCCAATTCATTGTAATGATTTCCCATATTTATATAATGAAAATATATCCCATCTGTCCCTGTCCTAATCACACCAGCCCCTGTCCTAATCACACCAGTCCATATCCTGATTACACCAGCCCATGTCTTTTTCACACCAGTCCTTGTCCCGATCACACCAGTCCCTATCCTGATCCCACCAGTCCATATCCTGATTACACCAGCCCCTGTCCTAATCACACCAGCCCCTGTCTCGATCACACCAGCCCCTGTCTCGATCACACCAGCCCCTGTCTCGATCACACCAGCCCCTGTCCTGATCACACCAGCCCCTGTCCCGATCACACCAGTCCCTGTCCCGATCACACCAGTCCCTGTCCCGATCACACCAGTCTCTGTCCTGATCACACCAGTCCCTGTCCCGATACACCAGTTGCTGTCCTGATCACACCAGTCCCTGTCCTAATCACACCAGTGCCTGTCCCGATCACACCAGCCTTTATCTGTTACATCAGTGCCTGTCATCATAAATCAGCCTCTATACGAGTTACATCAGTCCCTGTGCCAACCAACATCAGTTCCTGTCCTAATCTCACTAGTCCCTGTCCTAATTATATCAGCCTCTGTCCCAGTAACATCAGTCAGACCAGTCCATGTTCCTATCATGTCACCCTCTGTCCCAGTTATGGTAGCCCCTGTCTCTGTCCGCATGTCCTACCTCAAAGACAGCAGCCTTTGTCCCAATCACATCAGTCCCTGTCCTAACTGATGACTAACCCAGCAGTAGGTTCTCGGAAGCAGGCTGCACACACACACACGGGGGAACATACAACCTGTCCGCAGGCAATGTCCTGGTGGGTTATGAGTTCAGGACTCCAGCACTGTAAGACCCCATTACTAACTCCAAGGACTGTCAGAGATCAGATAAGAGACTCATTGGACCGGATCCCACAAAGGATGGAAAAGTCTGTCAGTGGCTCACATTTGTGCACAGTCCTCCTCTGCCTCCTCCCAGGTGCTCCTCTTCCGGGTAATCAGATGATAGCAGTGCTTGTGGTGATGTGTCCACCCAGCAGGACATCTTCTCCGCTTCTCTAGCTACAGGCAAGCAAGGGTTAATTATAAGAAAACATGTTCTCTATGATCTCATTGCCCATATATGGACTAATACCAAATATGGACTTTGGGGAGGGGCTTCCTGCAGTGCTCTCTGACATCATTGCCCCATATATGGACTAATACCAAATATGGACTTTGGGGAGGGGCTTCCTGCAGTGCTCTCTGACATCATTGCCCCATATATGGACAATACCAAATATGGACATTGGGGAGGGGCTTCTTGCAGTGCTCTCTGACATCGTTGCCCCATATATGGACAATACCAAATATGGACATTGGGGAGGTGCTTCCTGCAGTGCTCTCTGACATCATTGCCCCATATATGGACTAATACCAAATATGGACATTGGGGAGGGGTTTCCCTGCGGTGCTTTCTGACATCATTGCCCCATATATGGACAATACCAAATATGGACATTGGGGAGGGGCTTCCTGCAGTGCTCTCTGACATCATTGCCCCATATATGGACAA